GCATCCCTGTGAGAAGAAGCAACTGTGAACCTGTCATCATGGTGCACATAGCTTGGTCTCTGGTGTTTATTCTTTATAACTTTTTAAAAATTACTTCTTTATTAATAAATTCCATCATCTCAAAATGGAGTAAGGAAAACCCCACAGAGTTACTGTAGAGATAAGAGAATGTATATAATACTTATGAAATTATGATCTGTTGCACCAAAACAACACGATGCTGAGGGATCTCTTAATTTAATAAAGACCTCTTCAAAATCACATGATGGTGAGTCACATGACAGTACATCATCCAGAAAAGAGTCAAGGGGGAGATCTTCCTGAAAGAGCACCATGTATCTATCATGTCAATCAATCTTTGCACTTATCACATTCTTCCTAGTCTGAATATTGTCACTCTTTAAAGAATCAATCCAAATATCTTCTCCTCCAAAATTTCAAGATGTTTTTGAGGCATGATCATGCAATGTAGCCTGTGCTTGCTTTGAACTCATATGTATGCCCATATGTCTGGCTTTGAACTTGATAACCTGTTCCCTCTGCTTCCTGGATGAATTGAGGGGAAATGGAGAAGATGCATGAAGAGGTAAATTGTGAATGGTAGGCTAGATCAGATTATGTATACAATCGTTAAAGTTTAACTTTAGCCCCCACCCTCCACCCTCCACTCCACCTCCACCACACATTTTCTCTAGCTAGACTCTGCCATACAAAGATTCCACAACCTCTCCAAACAGCACCACCCACTGGAGACAGACAGGGTGAACAATGAGCCTGTGAAGGATGTATCGCATTCAAACCTCTGCAAGGCCTGTGCTGTGCTATCCTATATGCTGCTGTTTCTCATCCTTGCCTTGGTTCTTTTTTGTTATTAAGACATTTGGTTTTGTGGTGGTTTGAATGAAAATGGCCCCATAGGCTCAGGGATTGGTACTGTTAGCAGATGTGGCCTTGTATGAGGTGTGGCCTCATTGGAGGAAGTGTGTTACTGGAGGCAGGCTTTGAGGTTTCAGACACTCAAGTCAGGCCCAGTGTCTCTCTCTTTTCCTGTTGTCTACTGATCGAGTGTAGACCTCTCAGCTCCTCTCCAGTGCCACATCTGCCTATGTGCTGGAATGCTTCCTACCAAGGTCACAGTGAACTAAACCTCTGAACTGTAAGCCAGCCCCAGTGAAATGTTCTCCTATATAAGAGTTGTGGTCATGTGTAGTAGGAGGCCACTTGTTAGTTTCCTGGCTGTTCAGACTCCCAAAATAATCACACAGAAACTGTATTAATTAAATCACTGCTTGGCCCATTAGCTCTAGCTTCTTATTGGCTAACTCTTACATACAAACTTAACCCATTTCTGTTAATTTGTGTATCACCACGTGATTGTGACTTGCGAGCCAAAGCTTTGGCATTTTTCTCCAGAGGGGCTACATAGCTTCTCCCTACTCTGCCTTCCTTCTCCTAGAATTCCGTTTAGTTTTCCCTGCCTGCCTAAGTTCTGCCCTATCAACAGGTCAAGGCAGTTTCTTTATTCATCAGTGGTATTCACAGCACACAGAAGGAAATCCCACATCTATTATGGTGCCTTTACATAGCAATAAAACTCTAAGACAGTTTTGAAAGCCTCGTTGAGGTCAAGATAGACAGCTTTTGTGGTGTGAAGTCTCCATTTGTAGCACTTGCTGACTTTTCCTTGGGAAGGTAGGTTGTTAGTGTGCTTATCCATGTGTGGACTTATTTTTATTTAATCTCATTGTGACGTGATCTTACAGCTCACCTCGGTAAGAGTTGTACTTGTGTAGCGGAAGCACTAGTGCATCCGAGATGTGCTCCACATTTATGGCTCTGGCCTTGTTAGTTTTTTCTGTTGTTGACTTTTCTGTGTACCCACATTTTAATCACAATAACACTATTTTATTTTAATGTCTTGGGAACAGTACAAATGGGATCCTCACATGAATGTGTTCTTTTTTAATTTTTTTCCCCCCACACTAGTCCCAGGGATGGGGCAAGCCTCCTTGGATAAGCCTCTGGGTGGTGGATGGGGTGTTTAGTTCTGGTCTCACAGATGGGTCTAGCTTGATGCAGAGATCTGCTTCAGCTCCCTGTCTGGAAAAGGTAAACACTGTGAACGTTTTTCTACTTGGACACTAATGTTTTGCTAAGGAGGGCTGACACCCTCTCAGGAGTCTGCTGCATTGGGTCCACTTATCACCCCGATGTTTCTTTCCTACCTTCATCCCTCAGCTCTCTTCTTTCTATCTTTCTTCTTTCTTTGTCCTTTTCCTCCCCTCCCTCTTTCCCTTCTTCCCCTCCCTCTCTGTTTCTCAGGGTCTCACGTGCCCAAGTCCCAGGTTGACCTTGAAACTGTTACGTAGTCTTGAGCTGTATTCTTCTTTCTTCCACTTCCAGTGTGTGTGCACCATACCTGGTTTGTGTGTTGCTGGGATCAAACCCAGGGCTTCATGCCTGCTAGGGAAGCCCTCGGCCAGCTGGGACCCAGCCCTGCCTCCATCTCTTGAACTTCTGACTGGTTTCATTTGATGTGTTTTTAAACGCAGTATTTCCCCCTTTTCTCTGTTATCTCACATGGGGGAGAATTTACGTGCTCAGTCGCTGGGGGTGGAGGAGGCTCTCTGTCTCCACGGTCTGCATCCACCCTCTCCATCACATTCAATGTGGTGGACTCAGAACAACCGAGACCCCAGGGGAGCCTGCCTTACTTTGCAGTATTCTCAGCGCAAGTGTCTCATCCTCAGTGAAAGTTCTCTAACCTCTCTTCAGATAACAATGTCTTTCAGATAGAAATTGTTCTCTTTCTCACTGGCACTGCTGCTGGATACCATTCCTTCTTCAGCCAGAAGACCCATGACAGTAGCGTGTTTACATTGTGTCCCTTATCGTCAGCTCCTCCCCAAAGATTCTAGTTCACATCTACAGGGACCCACTTTGCAAGGTGCAATAATAAGTGTCTGAGACATGCCAGATAATGGATAAGGGGAAGATGGAGAATAATATAGCTTATTAGTGCCTTTGCTCCTGCGTTTACGCTAGTTTTCCATAGCAGATCACACTTACAAATACATAAAGAAAGTCAAATTTATCTTAGGCTATTTGCTTTATCCCACAAAGAAGTCTTTGATTTGTATTGAAAATAACATCAGCAATCATATATAGCACCTACCATGTGCCAGGCATATTAAATTAACCCGTCTAATTTTCCCACTAAATCTGATCAAGAAACTCTGAGTCTTCCCTTTATACACGAGGAAACAGAATCAGCAAGCTTGGCTGTTCACTAGGTTCCACTAGGTACCACATCAATGCACAGTAGAGCCGCAGCTCGAGCCCAGAGCGTCTCCAGCAGGAGCCTTGCTCATAGTCCTCACAGCCTCTCTATAGTAGTGAAAGAGATACAGAATTTTCTGTGCCCATGATTTTTTTTTCTGTTTTATTTTTTTTAAACACATTTGTGAATCCAGAGTGGATGGTTATTTACTAATGACTTGAAAAGACTTTTCTTGTATCTGGTCTTGTGGGAAAATGAACAGCTTAATCCAGTAAAACGTCTCAATATTTAAGAATATTTAGAATTGAAGCTAGACATTGGTGTTGGTGTTTGAGTACCCACCTTCCACTTCCTCCCCTTTATTGTTCATGAGGGAACAAAAGGACAGAGTGAATGGCCTTCGCCTTGTCTTTTGGGGATATGAGTTAGAAGTGTGACCACAAGGCAGTTAGTGCTATAATCCTCGACTCCGTCATCCAGAGGGAAATGCGGCTATCAGTGTTCCAGCCTTTGGAGTATCAAATCACATGGCCCTCTCTCTGTCCCCTCATGATCAATCACGAAGTTAGAACCAAGTCCTACGAATTGCTGTGACAGTCTACAAACTCATCCCCCGGGTGACAGAGGCAGTAGGATCGTAAATCTGAGGCATCTCATAAAATCGGCGAGGGGTGGGGGCCTTCCTAGAGTGAGCAGGCGTTCATTCTGCCTCTCCCACGGAGACTGGCTGGTTCTCACAATGCCAGCACTGTGCCATGAGGTGCTTGCCCAGCAATTCCCGCACTGCCAGTCTGAGCTCACCTCTTATCTACCTCATTAGTGGGAATGCGTGGGAGCTCGATAACCTCCCGCTGAGCCTCAGAATGGCTGAAAGGGTCTCAAGCAAACTCAGAAAAAAAAATGGGGGTCAAATTTTGGAGCAGCAGAAGTGGCTTACTTGGGATTAATTTTAAAATACACTGAAGAAAGATAAACAACTCGAGTGGTTGCTAAATATACCCAGCATGCCCGGGGCTGAGATCTGTGTGGCTACGTGCAGCTGGACAAACGGAATGACTATTTCTGTGGGGCCTGGAGTGTGGTGCATTGCATCTGCTGATGCGCTTACTATTTAAAGACTGCCGAAGGGTTATTCTCTCCAAAGTCCAGAATAGATGTTTCTCCTCAAGCGGGAATTATTTTTAGATGTTCGAGTGGCTTTGGATTAAAATTTATCTATCACAAACGTTATCTTTGTAGGGGCGTTAAGAACCCAAGAGACAGGCTGACATCAGAAGAAAATGGATATAATTCATAGAGCTACAAGAGATGTTGGTTTTCTTATCCCATAAAAAGTGTGTGTGTGTGTGCGTGTTCCTGTGTATGGTGAAGAACAGGTATATGTGTGCCCTGGTGCAAGCGTGGAGGTCTCAGGACAACCTTGGATGCTGGTCTCCACCTTCCGCCCTGTTCGAGACATAACATATTTTCACTAGTGTGTGTTCACTAGTGTGAACACCGGGGCTGGTTGCCAACGAGCTTTCAGGAATTCTACCATCACTCACTTCACCATAAGAACACGAGGGTTTCCAACACACGCCAACTTTACATGGGTAACATGTCTGTGCTGTAGGGTAGTGCCCACCTCCTAAGCGTGGATGATCTCCTTTCTGTCTGTGGAAGAAAAATTGGGATGCAAATGTCTTCAAACTCAGGACCCTCAGCACAAGGATTTTCTTACCTGCTGCTCTCTGTCCCAGGACTATCAGTGGTTATAATTCTTTCAGCTCATAGAGTATCCGTCAAAAAGACCTAGAAGGGAAATGAATACATTCTCTGCTTTTGGAGGGTCAGATGTCATGAGAAGAAAGAAACATGCAAGCTCAGGATGGATGACCTGAGCTGACCAGAGAGCCTAAGCCAAAGAAACAGAAACAGCAGCTCATCCTAAAGAAATAATTATCATAGATAATGTGAGAGAAAAGAGTGGTGGGGTGTTTGGGTGTGCAGAGGGGCCACGGGTGGGGCCAAGTATGGAGTCAGAACTGGCTGCAGCTGCTCAAGGCTGTCACACAGACACTTACTTTATAACCAGGCTTCTGTCCTTGTGAAGTCCCAGGGGGTAGAGGATTTTTTTCATGACTATTTGGAAGAAATGCCTTCATACCTGTTTTTTAGTATGGGGATATAAAAGGGCTAAAAACCAACAGTGAAAGCGTACTATCAATAATGGGGCATAGAAAATTACCTATTTGCTATTTTTTAAAGCTAAAGAAAACAGCATTATTTGAATTTTACTGATAGAAAAAAATTGAATGTAGGCACAAGAAACAAACATCCAACTAAAGAGTTCTTATCTCCAAAGGAGTATCTTACTTGTATATTTTTTCTTTTATTTAAAAAAAATTCTTTTTCACTTTATATACCAAGTCCAGTTCCCCCTCCCTTCTATTCTCCCTCCCCCAACTTCCCCTTTCCCAACGCCCACCCACTCCTTAGGCAGGGAAAGGCCTTCTTTGGGGGAGTCAACAAGGTCTAGCATACCAACCTGAGGCAATACCAAACCCCTCCCCCTCTGGATAAGGCTGAGCAAGGCATTCCACCACAGGGAATGGGCTCCAAAAAAGTAGCTCATGCTCCTGGGATAGGTCCTGGTGTGGCTGCCAGGGGCCCACCCAACAGATCAAGCCATGTAACTGTCAACTGCATTCAGTTGCTAGTTCAGTCCCATGCAGGCTCCTCAGTTGTCCGTCCACACGGTCTGTGAGCTCCCATTAGCTCGGGTCAGGTGTCTCTGTGGATTTTCCCATCATGCTCCTCAACCATTTTGTTCATATGATCCCTTCTCCCTCTTGTTAACTGAACTCCATGGCAAAAAAACGACATCTTGCCTGGAGAGATGGCTCAGCAGTTAAGAGCATTGCCTGCTCTTCCAAAGGTACTGAGTTCAATTCCCAGCAACCACATGGTGGCTTACAACCATCTGTAATGAGGTCTGGTGCCCTCTTCTGGCCTGCAAGGCATACACGCAGACAGAATATTGTATACATAATAAATAAATTAAAAAAAAATAATCAAACTGCAAAAAAAACCCGACATCTTGAAATATGCAGGCAAATGGATAAACTAGGAAAAAAAAATCCCGAGTGAGGTAACCTAGACCTAGAAAGACAAACATGATACATAGTCACTCATAAGTGGATATTAGCTGTAAAGCAAAGGATAACTAAGCTACAACCCACAATCCCCGAGGAGCCAGGTAAAAAGGAGAACCCCAAGAGTGACACTCATGGAAAATCTCAGGTAGAAAATAGTTAAGATTTCCTGAGTAAACTGGGGGTGGGTGGGTGGGTGGGGGATGGAAGGGAGGGGAGGGGAGCATGTGGGATCAAGAAGACCAAGTTGGGAGAGGGGTGGAGGGGAGAGCAGTGAAAGAGATATGTTGATAGAGGGAGCCATTATGGGGTTAGGGAGAGAATTGGCGTTAGAGAAATTCTCAGGAATCCATGAGATAAGCCCAGGTAAGACGCCTGGCAATAGTGGTGATCAGCGACTGCCCCAGTTGTCATCATAGAGCCTACGTCCGGTAACTGACGGTAGCAGATGAAGTTACTTATACATATTATTTTTACGTACATATATTTTGATCATGTTCAGCCTCACCTTCTCACCCATCCCAACTTCGTGTCCTCTCTTTCTTGAATGCCCCACTGTAAAGATTATACAGTCATCTTTACGAGAAAATTAAAAAAAAATCGAAGTGGATTTTGTGTGTTTTCAAAACAACAACGCAGGACTGGTGAATTGGTTCAGGCGATCCTTGATTTGAATCATACATGGTGGAAGGAGACAGCTACATCCTAAAAGTTATCCTCTTACGTATTTATTATCGGTCTCTTTTCAGAAGACGTTTGCTGAGCCTTGCTTGATATCTTTACCTTGCATATCATCAAGATTTACATCGCTTTGGCTCTGGAGCCATAATCCCCACCTTCGCTGTCTTGTCACATGTCAGTGCTGACCACTAACCCTCCTTCCTAAAACCCCCAATGATGAGTCCTGGACTTTTATTCCTCCTATATCTCACCAGGTGGTTTCTTCAATAAAAGTTTATAAGGCTGAGCTTCCTTATTTATATTCAAGGGTAAATTTACTTTGCTGCATCTTGGATGGCTGTTATAGCTTCCTGAAAGAACTATATAAACCCCCATCTACCTGAAATCTGTGAGCCACGCAAGTAATCTAAAACTTTCATGCATTCACATTAAAAGAATTATTAGAAATAGGGTTACCACCAATTTGTTTAATCCATTAATAGTCCAACATGGAATCAACAGAAACTTTTATTGAGATTTTTTTTTTTTACCTTCTGTTTCACTCTTTGGTGTGTGCTGTATGCACAGGCTTGTGTGATTGCACACATGATTGTGTGTGTGAAAGCTCCTGTGTGCGTGCATGTGTAAAGAGACCAAAGGAGGGCAAACAGTTGCCTACTGAGCCAGCCCCCACTCCTGAACAGTGTTCATCATGCTAATCCTTGTCTTACTTCTCAGACTTTGTGTGATTGCGGTGTTAATCTATTACTTAAAGCTTTCATAAAAAATTGCCTTTCTTGTTTGCCTTCTTCTCTCCAGCTTGCTTCCTTTAAGATTTATGTAATAGTTGTTCTTTCTGTTTTCCCACAGCTTCTTTTCACTGTTATGACATTTATTTATTTTTAAGTCTCACTGGCTATCACTGGTGGCCGTGGGTTTTTGCTCTTCCAGGCAGCAGTGGGTTTTTTTTTTGTTTGTTTGTTTTTGTGGAGTGGTTTCAAGACAGGGTCTCATAGAGCCCAGGCTGAACTCGATCTGAATGGAGCAGAGGATGACCTTAATTAAACTCCTCAGCCTCCCGATCCTCCTTTTCGAGTGCTGGAACTACAGGCAAATCCACCATGCCTTCCTAGTGTCTGCTTTCTCTTTTATTGTGTCTGGTTTATGCATGTATGTATACATACATGCCTGTTTGTGTGTGAGCAAGCCACAGACTTTACATTCATTTATCTATTTTTTTATTTTTGGAGACAAGAGTCTCTTGTTGGATAGGGAGCTCAGTGATCAGGCAAATCCAGCTGATTGCCCTAACGTTGCTCTTTGCTCCCCTAGGTTGGGGCCACAGGTTTTGCTCCCCTAGGTTGGGGTCACAGGTTTACACTGCCTTTCCAGACCCTTTATGCAGCTGCAAGAGCTGGGAATTCAGAGCCAGACACTTGTGCAGCAAGCCCTTTACCTACTGGTTCACCTCCAGGGTCAATTTGTGCTTCCACTGAGCTTTAGAAGACCCTCTCTGAGGGAAACACTGAGGTTTTGGCCTTCATTCAAATCTATGCGGAAGCTTGGTCATCTGTATGGATTTCTGACTTGATCAGGAACAAATAAAAGCACTTAAGCAGCATCCATATAGAATCTCTTATCATCAATCAAATCTGGACCAGACTCAGAGTTCAGCCTCACTGTGGTTTGTTACCTACCCGTTACCACTGTGAGCCAGTTTTGCACTTTGTTCTGTGTCCCAAGCAAGGCACCTGGGTGTGAGGATGGCTGGAATGGGGCTCTGTTTTTATACTGAGGTTCTTGTGAATGGATGATTCTCCCTCGTTGAGGAATATTCCATCTCTAGACTTTCCATTGCCGTTGCCATTGCACTCACAAGCATATCGAGAATTTGAATTCTTTGAGAGATTCAGCTGTGATGTCTGCATCTTCTACTTTTATTTATTGGTTTGTATAAGTGGTAAGGACTAGACCCGAAACTTTTCACAGAAGAATGATTAGATCTCAAGTTGAAGCCTACGGAATTACCACTTTCTATGACCCAACCGGGCATTATCTATCAGGAGTCGTGCCTGTGGCATCTTTTTTTAAACAAAATTTATTTTATGTATATAAATATTGCCTCCCTGTATATATGTGTACCACATGAGTGCAGTACCTGATAGGACCAGAAGAGGGCAGGATCCCCTGGAGTTCCAGGCAGTTGTGAGCCACCAAGCTGGTGCTGGAAACTGAACCTGCTCTTGACCACAGAAGCATCTCTCCATCCCCTACCTATAGCATGGTACCAAATGCTTTACAGTGAGCTCCTTTTATACTTCCTGAAGGTTGCCCCTGTGTTCCCAGAAGAGTGACAAGGAACACGGGAACTCTCTAGGGCACGAGATTCCCACATTTTCATGACCCTCTTGCACATGCTCTGGTAGTGCAACCTGTGAGTTCTTCAGCATCTGTTGTTGCTCTGGCTGGTTCTTCCTTTGGCCCTTTTTTTTTTTTTTAATCAGTGACAACTCTGTACTGTTCTCCCCCTTTCTTTCCAAAGAAGTGTTTTAACAGTACTAAGGAACTTCTGTCAGTCTTGATTATTGTATTGTTCTGTGTGAACCTTAACATTCTGAATAAGGAAGAGGTGTGTGAGATGCTGATGGTACAGCTGATATATCAGTATCTTGATACACATGAAGGGGCAAGTCAAGTGTTTGTTACCCTGGAAAGGGTGTCTCTAGGCAGGGTACAGTTCTTTGCTCTTGAATTTGAACAGAAAAATTTCCATCAATGATGTGAACAACAAAAAAAAATGTAAAAGCTACTTTGATCAAACTTCACAGTAAACATTCTAACAATCTGGAGGTTAAAGATTAAGGGGTCTGAAGCTCTCACCAGGATGGACATCTGGTTTTGAAACAATCTGAATGTGTTGACTTCCATTTGTTTCTAAAGAACAGTGTTCAATAATGAAATACAAGATCCTCAGAGCTTCAGCTGGAGCCCCTGTGAAAGCAGAGGGCTACATGAATAAATCAACTAACTATGTATTTGCTGTGGGACCAAAATACCATGTGGTTCCTTCCCCCCAAGACCAAATCAGTGCTTATATAGTAAATATGCTGAGAGGAGTTGAGTCCTGAGTTCTAGATACCTTGTCACATGACTCTTTGTGACTATAACTTCTAGCTCAGTGTATTGCATGTAACAGATTCTTAAACATTATTTACGAAATAACAACTATAATTATCAGAACATGAAAGATGTCACAACGGAAGGAACAGCTTCATATATGGAGTGTGTACAAGTTAAGATGACTCACCAGGGAATCAGCCAACCACATTCTAGGGAGTCGAGTTTGCTGAAGGAGTCTGGAAGAGAAGATGAAGAAGATGGGGATAATTGTTTGGGCCCAGACGGCTTCATCCTGTCTCAAAAGATGAATCTGCCGAGTGTCAGAAGGAGGGAGCTGTGAACTCAACATTAAACTTTCCATAATTAACAGAGACGATAGTGTGAACTGTTAGACGGCTGGGCCCTAGGCACATTGCAGAGGGAATTCCTGCCTATGTACGTGTGGGTGGCGATTTAGAGGGACAGCTATTCCAAATCAAAGGCCAAGGAAAAATAGCCATTTAGGGGTTGGAGAGAGCTCAGCGATTAAGGACATGTACTGCCCTTGCAGAGGACCTGAGTTCAGTTCCCAGCAGTCATAAGCTCACATTGACAGTATTGCCCTAAAAGACCGTCGGTCAACTCTGCTAAGCAACACTTTGTAAAAATAGATTTCTGTTTTATTGCATTTAACTTTTTACAGGTTAGGGATTACTAGATGTCTGTATTATTAATACTCATTATTTTGTTAGATTTAGGAATTTCTGTTTATAAGCCCTTAGATAGTTTTGTCTGAATCTAAGCAGTGATTGGCAAAGGCATGGCAATGTTGCTATTTCTATGTATCCCACAGCTTTTATTCCATGTTTAAATGTAAGCTTTCTATTTTATTGTGTCCCAAATATTTCAGTAATGAAAGGTTTGGTAAGTTCAAGTACATGGCGCATGTCAGCAGTTTGCTACTCTGTGTTTGCCAGCATGTTCCTAACACAATTTTGCCCTCCATGTCCTGGATCCTGGGTTTCCGGCTTGTGTTCTACGCCTATGGTTTCTCTAAACGGCTCCTCCATTAGCTTCATATTCATGCGGCACCACCAGTGACATCTGTCTGTAGGATTTACTGCCACCATGTCTTATCTGCCTCCACGCTGGTGTGGAAAAGCCCACATTTCCCCCAGCCGCCCCTGCCCACCAGTCCCAGTTCTTTCACGGCTCTCCACTGGAACAGGTCTGCAAAGCCTTGGTATCTTCTCCGCTGCCTTCAGTGGGGCACTGGGTCTCTCAGCTACTGGAGTTCAGCATGTTCGTCTCCTCTCATCATCCTTAGGAGTCCAGCTCCTCGCCCAGGCTTCCCAGCTCCTACGCCCTTGTTTCCTCGCGGGGCTGGCGACTGGAAGTCTAAGACAGAGCTCTCCGCAGAACTGATTTCTGTCTGAGGCCTCTTTCCCTGGCTTGTAAATGGTTGTGTTTCCTCCGTGTGTGTTCCAATCTCTTTCTGAGGCTATCAGTGAGGCTGGATGCGGGCTGACCCTCGCAGCCCCTTTCCTCTCCCCAGTACCTGCAAGAGCCTTGTTTCCAAACGCGGTAACGTTCTGAGACCTCGAGGAAAGTTGGGAGAAGAGAATCCAGCCTGCCGCGTGTATGTACCTGCAGGCTTTCAAACAAAACCCGAAGCCAGTCGAGTTTTAGGTTTGTCCGCTGTTATTTTCCCATGAGCTAATCAAGAGGAACCCAGGTGTTTTCAAAGCATTGCTTTTGGGGGTGTTTCATCGTTGCTTCTTGAGCAGGGGGAAATGAAACTGGCCGACAGGGTTTTTCTGACTCTAGCTCCTGCCACGCCTCTGAGGGAGGATGGTTCAGAATGACAGGCCAGACAGGACCCCTGGGTTATGTGTGGGCTGCCCCACCTACCTATGTGACCTGTAGCGCATGTGTGGTTCAACGTGAGCTGTCGAGATGCTCTCCCGACAAACCCTCACTTTCCATTCTCAGATCAGCCTCTACACCAGTGTCTCCCCCAATGCAGTACACTGCAGTATGAAGTTACGGACCAACTCGCTCAGTCTCGTGTATATGTAGGTGCGGATATATCCACATGTGCTCACGTGTGTGGGTGTGCCTGTGTGCATGTGACCGCACTGTTTCTCAGGTGTCATCCGCTACCCGCTTTCCATGAGACAGGGTCACGCTGGCCTGAAACTGCCAAGTAGCCCCAGACACCTAGGGTACCTTGTCTGCACCTCCCCACCGCTGGGATTACAAGCATGTACCACCATGGCTAGTTTTTACTTGGTGGTTTTGGGGGCGGGGCACACGTTCAGCTCGGGTCCTCATGAAGTTAAGCATTTTATGGGCTGAAGCTCAGTCCTACTTAAAGTTTTCTCTCTTGTATTGTAACTCCTTTAAGGGTCAGATTTAAGGTCTGGGGTGGGAATGGGAGTGGGAGGTACAGAAAATTAGTAGGAATAGGTGGAAGCTTAGGTGCCCTCTTGTGTTGACTTGGCTTTGGGCTTCAAAAAGACACACCGGTAGGCCCAGGGACCAGGAAGGTGAGCAAAGGAGAGTTTCCCCAGCAGGTGATGAAGACCCAGTCCCGTGTGTTCCCCCACCCCCATACCACGTTCATTTTGTAAAACCCGGATGCAGTCAGGTTTTGGCTGGAGTAAAACCCCACCTTCCAGCAGGAGCTCGAGATAACTTACCCCGTGAAGTCAAGTCTCCTTTCTGGGAGTTGAAGGTGTGTGCTTAGAATCTGGGGGGAGAAAGACGAAAGCATGGCCGAGAGTGAGCATGAGGGAGTGGCTGCTCCAGACATCCCCATTGTCTCTGTATTTCTAAGACCTTTATGCCAGTCCAGGGACTTAGAACAGTTTTCAGCCTCCCTGCAAGCTCTCCCCCTTTCCCCGTAGGAGAACTTAGTGCAGCCGCTCACACCCACCCCGTTGAGTTCTCTGTTTTTATTATTTGTCAGAGTTTTTGTTAGGCACCTCCCTCTTCTTCCTTCCTCCGAGGCCCCTTCCGCTCGACTCCCCTGCCTTTCCTACCACAGCCTGCGTGGGCTGTTCTGTATCCTACTTAACATTTATGAAACTTGTTTGAGGACCCTGGCCACTGGCAGGGATGGCTGACCATGTGACGTCTCAGTGGCTTGCACAGTACATGGCTGAGCTCGGAGGTATCACCTGGCTTATCCCTTGCCCCTCACCCCAGCACACACCCACAGATGATCTCTATGTAATGGTATGTTCTTCTTCTATTCTTTCTGGGAACTCTGAGCAGAAGAGCCGGTATCTCCAGCTGATGAGCTGATGACGTTAAGCGTTTCAGATCCCTGAGGTCCTCCTCTGGAGGCCCAGCTTCCACTCCTGCTGAGCTGAGCTTGACACACAGGCTCCTGCAAATCCTTCTTTCTTGAGAAAAGGGAAGTGCACAGAGCAATTAACAAATGTTTCTCACCGCCATGAGCCATGGAACCCCATCTCTGTGCGCACCGTATGCTGCCTGTGTGGTGTGGCCTCGGGTACTTTGCTTGTCTCTCTGGGCTGTTTTCATCTGTTAAGGGAGGGGATTGGCCAGCCAGGAGCACCGGTGTTCTTGCCAGCTTGTGGCCTGTCAGTGGTCAGACGTTCTTGCTGAGTAATCATCGATGGTTTTGTCCCCACTGGGCTTCGCTCGCTGACTCGTCCTTTTCTCAGATCCGTGAGATCCAGAGTGAATGTCAGCCCTGCCCACTGGTCTAGCCAAGAGCAAATCCTCTCTTTGCAAATCTTCTGGAAGAACAGTGGCCTCCTGAGACAGGGAGACCCATGTCTGACTGTGCAATTTGGTGCCTTGCTGGCTGTCCATGTGAGACCTACACCCCAGCATCAAAGCTCAGCTTGTTAAGGGATGGGGCTTGAGGTCTGCTCTCCACCCTGACTGTCCTTTCTGGATTAGTCAGCAGCATTCGAGGAACAAATAGGCCCCTGTTCAGCCCTGCTTCTAACTCCTTACAGGCCCCAGCGCGCCTGAGACTGTAAGTCCTCACTGAGCTCCTCGGGATGTTCAGGTGGTTAGGACTTTGGTTGTTCTTGGCTTCTCTAGATATTTTTAAGCACTTTTAATTGATTTGAAAAACATGCTAACTCTGAGTTTTTAAAGTTTCTGTAATTACAGCCCAAGGCCACTGGCTTAGAAGCTGAGTTGTCAAAGAGTCCATAAATAAACACACTGAAAGGAAGAGGTGGGGCCACGAACGCAGTCATAGAACTTGGAACCAAAGGAAACACTTTTGTGTTCAATGCCTTTCAGGTGTGTGTGTGTGTGTGTGTGTGTGTGTGTGTTTGTGAGAGAGAGAGAGAGAGAGAGAGAGAGAGAGAGAGAGAGAGAGAGAGATATATCACTGGATTTCTAGAATGGAGGTTAATTCACCATATCTTCTAAGAAATACATTGTGGTGGAGGAATAGAAACCTCTGCCGCTCCCCGTTCATCCAGCCTACATTCTCTATATAATAGATAATACTTGTGGCTCCGAAAGCTGACCCTTTTCTAGGCAGCTCCTATGCTCTCCGAACAGGTGATCTCTTGGATGACAATGGCTTCCTACATAGAATCTCAGTTTTCTAGGATGGCAAAATCTCCTTTTCACCCCTAACAACTGATTAGATGGCCTGAGCCTTGAGCCAACCTTATTTAATTATCTTGGGCGCCTCTCTCGTCATAAAATCCACATCCCTCGTGGAATGGATATCTCTGGGACGAAATGTCTTAATTAGTCACAGCTGCAGAAATACAGTCTCCAGAGCCCCAGGCTCACTGGCCACGGCCATGCTGTTCCAAGTGTCTTCTTCTTCCAGGAACCATCCTGGTGGGACCACATAGTAGGGCATGCTATCTTTTTGTGATAGAGAAGAAAACGGAGGATTGGCTGGAAAAGTGCTGTGCTTCCAAATGTTTGTGTGGGACAGGGCCTCCGTTATCCTTCCTCGTGCGACGTTAACTCAGAAAAGCCCACAGTCGTCTGACACTGTGGCAGAGAAATAGAGTTCACCTGCGGAGAGGTGCTACGAGCCTCCCAGAAATGGGTTGTGACGGATACTGGGAGAAGTCAGCATGGAGGAACGCATCCATCACATCGCCTGATGCGTTAAACAAGCACCTTCATGAGGAAGGCGCAGCTCTGGGTGGCAGCCCCTGGACCCTAAGTCTGCCTTTCCTGTCCTTGAGTGCTTGTCATACTGAGAAGCTGGGGAAGAGCAGGTCTTGAGTTTTCATGTTTGGGAATGTCTGCTGGCAGAGTCTCCGCTAGGAGCTAAGGTCTGGCTAGGTACTTGGTAATTCCCCTAAGATCCCCACAGTCCCATCCTCAACTAACTCCCACTTTCTTTAAGTTCCTCTCCAGTCTGGGCTTATCTCTTGATTACATTAGATGGCACTGGCATTCAAACGCCTGCATTGTTCTTCTTTGGATTGCTTCTGAGGTAGTGCTTTTGCAGAAGAAAATTGCTGTGGTTTGGAGCCTGGCCAGAAGACATAGGAATGGGCACAAGCAGAGACCTGGGCTTCTTGGCCCTAACATAGGTTCGGGAAGTGGAAGATGGAAAGCCAGACATGAGAATAGATGCATTGATTCATAATCTCTTCAGTTAATGTTTGCTATGAGGGGCTATTCTTTCAAAACTGTCTGGCGGTTTATCGATGAATCTTTCAGAAAAGATTTATTATTTTCAATTGTGTGTGTGTGTGTGTGCGCCTGTAGATGTGTGTGTGAGTGTGCCTGTAGGCGTGTGCACGTGAGTGCAGATGCCTGCCGAGCTAGACACATTGGATCCTCTGGAGCTCAAGTTACCCGCAGCTGTGGGCTCCTTAATGTGTGTGTGTTGTGTGCCTGTAGGTGTGTGTGTGCACTGTAGAGGTGTGTGTGTGCCTGTAGGTGTGCGTGCACCTGTAGGTGTGTGCCTGTAGGTGTGTTTGTGTGTGTGTGTGCACATGAGTGCAGTGCTTGCTGAGCTAGACACATTGGATCCCCTGGAGCTCGACTTACAGCCGCTATGGGCTCCCTAACGTGCATGCTAGGAAACAAGCTCAGGTCTTCTGCAAGGGCAATTGGCAGTTCTGACCACTGAACTTCCTTTTCTGCCTCTCAGTGAGTCTTTTTATACAATGGAAAGCTTAGGTAATAAAATTTACAGTCTTTTCTTTGAATTATAGAAGAAGATGATTGTTTTCTGACCCATGACAATGAATTCACAACATCCTAAAAATAGAAGGCAAATCTGACTTTGGAGTTGAATAATCGGAGAACATCCTTCTCATTCCAGAGGTCAAGGCGATTTGCGACTTTCGATGTATATTTTAAAAACTGCTAATGAAGCAAAGCCAACCCTCCCACAATGATTTGCTTTTGTTGAATCTTTTGTAAATAAATATTATGATGCATATGCTGTTGGCAATATTTCACCATTCCCATCCCCATGTTTTCTGGTACTGAAGCCTGATGTCTTTCCTTGTGAACGTTGCATGGAGCATCCTCTAAGCCCTTTCCTTCCAGCATTAGCACCATAGCCACCATTTTTTTCTTGTCTGATTCTCTGCTGGAGTTTAAGATTTGCACAACTTTGGGATCCCAGTGGCTGTCTGCACCCCTTTCCACATTTTGCATAATGTTTCAACTTGGTGTTGAATCGGATGAGTGATCAGATCGTGAATAGAATATTCCATTTTATTCAGAAAAACAGCCTCAAATGCAGGGCAGCCAACACAAAGGAGAATGCCTGCACCAGGGTCCCATACTTCTTCCTCGACAGCCCAGGCTTCTGGGAGGAGAGACGAGCAGCCCCAGTACCTGGACTAGGGCTCTGGCTTTTGCTGTTCTCTTTGTACTCAAGCAGTGACCGTATTACTACTTCATCCAACAGTAGTGAGAACCTATTGTTTTCAGAAACAATGACTAAAACACTAAACAGAACCACAGACAGAAACAAAGATGAGCGAGCAGCTGATGTTCACAAGACACACAGCAGCAGCGTGTGTTTGTGACACTATCCCTCAGGCCAGGCCCGTGCTTGGGTGTCTACAGATGTTCTCCACTGTCAAGTGTGGACCCCAGGTCTGTCTACAGAGAGCTGGGATTTGAGCCACACCACTCATCTGGCCAGCGGTGAAGCTCAGACGACAGCAATGGCTCCTTTATTCCACAGCCCAGGGACTGAGAAGAGGTTATTACTATGTAAAAAACAATTTCTAGTTTATCCAGTGGAAAGATTGATCTAAGTTGAGTTTCTCATAAGAGACGGTCAGTGAGCCGCTTTGCAGGTGTGGTCAGGTTGGCCTGGACAGTCAAGCCGATAGGTTTCCTGCCCATGGTTTTGGCCACACCTTTTCTACCATCCATATACACCAGGATTCTGAAGTTCCTCCTCCTCCTCGTTTGCAGCTCCTGTTCTATTTCCTCTTCTATCCTTCAACCTGGGCTTTGCCAAAAAGTGTGTCGGGCAATTGGAGGCACCACCTCTAATTGCAGAGCAGGTGTTTATTCGTTTTTTTTTTTTTTTAAACCTAGGGTTTGGCTGGTCTGTCTCATCTTAACCCCTGATATTTCCTACTTTTCTGTTCTCTCTATGAGTCACTTGTGTCTCTTAATTCATTGTTTCAATGATGAAAGGAGTCATCTTTTACAACATGAATATGAACCGACAATGACGTACGTAAGATGAGGTGCTTCTCTGTGAGAACCGAACTCACAGATGCAATTACGATGTTGCTGCTTTTACGATCTTTTCAGAGCCATGGACACCGAGCACTGTCTAAGTGGAGGAAAGACGTAAGGTTAAAGTGTTGTAATTTCATCGGCGACATCTAAAATCACGAGTCGTAGCTCTCTGTCAAAACATGCTGTTTCCTTAGACGCACAGAAGGCAATGACTTCTTCAGATAACTA